AGCGGAGGGCAGAGCCTCCCTTTGTCCAGGGTCTTGTGCTGTGAGCCCTGAGCCGGGGTGCAGGTTGCTTCTGTGTTCAGTGTGAGCTGGTGTTCACAGCATAACTTAACAGCAGTGGACGTGTACTCAGTGGTGTCTGTTTTGAACTATTTAACTTTGTGTTCTGTTTCTATGAAGGTGTATTTATGCAGACTTCACCAAGTGTCTCTCTAACGTCGATAAATGTCACCCTTCAGTCTTCGGCAGTGGTGGCCCCAGGTGACTCTTTAAGGTCCACCTGAGCAGTGAGCAGGGTGTATTGAGCTTCCTTGTGGCTAAGAAGGGAGGACAGTCCCTCTGTGGGTGTCGGGAGGTACCTCTTTCAGAAGTCAACAGTGACTTCAGCCTAACGGTTCATTACCCCCAGTGAAGCCTGACGGGAACCCGTCAAAGCGACCCTCCACCAGTGTGTCTGAGCTCACGTGACGGGGGAAGAGGGCACATCAGCATGATTGTAAGAATGGGTTTGGGCCCACATTCCAGCAAAGAATGAGAAAAAACAATCTTCTAACTCACATAGCAAACTGCAGAATGTTACGTCATCCGTGTGCTAACGCGCGCTGTCTGTGGAGCGGGTCCGTCTGTGCTCATGCCCCGGCACTAATAAATCCGTGCGTGCGGATTCCAGCCTCCCCATTCTCTCTGAAACTCCTATTTTGCCTCCCTCTCAAAAGGCCATTTCCTGTATTTAAAAAATAGAGAATTAATTTTAGAAATGGAAAAAACCCGGAGTTTCGGCAGAACTGTGAAGGTTCTTAACAATCCTGCTTAAACACCGTCATCTCACCCTTGTCCTTCTACGATGGAAGGAGAAAAAGAAGCCCAAGATGGGTTTAATTATCAAATTGGTTTTAAATCTCTCATGAAAGAAAGCTGCTTTTAAATATACTCTACCGACTCCATTTATAGAAATGTATGTCCAACTCTTAGGTCATCCTCAGAAAAGGAAAATAAGAAAACAGATGCTTTTGAATATGGAGAATTGAAAAGTGTGATCAAAGGTGTAGTGAAGTGTTTATCACCAGACGTGTGTTTCTCAAAGTGCTTGTCATTGAAAAAGGTACTCAGCATTTCTAGATCAAAATGTCTTCATCCCCCAAATGGGAATCAACCCATTTCATTCCATGTGAATGAAGTTTGCCAAGCTCCCAGGATTGGGCGCTTTAATGGAACAAGTAAACTAATCAAACCTGAGTAAAGCATGCGTGGAGAACCACCCCCAGCACGCACACAGGCGCACACACACGTTCTCATCCCGTGCCCCCGGGCTCTGTTCTCTTCGCTCCGTCCCCTCCCTGCGGCCTTGCAGCTGGTTCACCGTGTCACCCTGATCATCCTGACTTCAGACTAGCCCTGACTCTCCCAGCGTGTTCCACCTCTGTTCCCCCTCTCACGTGTCACCGTGTTAGACTCTGGAAGAAGGCGAACAGGCAGGGAAGCGCGAGCATGAGAAGCCGCAGTGGCTGAAGACTCAGAAGTCACCCCGGCCCTCCCCGTCAGCCCCCCGTGTGCACGTGGACAAGTTCCATCTGTTTTGTTGGTAAACCTGGAATTTTAGATTTCACTTCAGTCCAGGCTGACCCCTTGAGGCCTGACCACCTTACAAGTGGAGCTGTTGGGTAGCTATTTGTTGGGCTTTTCAGTGCTCTCTCTCAGAATGGACTGAAACTGCATAGAATACAGCTCCCCAGACAGTCACCCCTCCTTCACCCAGCCGCTCCCGCCACCTTTACTCACGCGCAGGGGGTGACAGCGAGGGGCAGCGGTGCAGACGCGAGGCTGTCCGAGGCCCCAGGGCAGCGTGGCCCCTTCCCTCTGCGGACTTCAGTGCCGCTGCCCCTCCTTGTGCTTTCGTGACGCAGGATCCTAGGGATTCAGCCTCTACCAGGATCAGTGCCGTGTGAATCAGTGCCCCAGACCTCAGTGGCGGTCACCCAGGGCTCGTTAGAACCGGGAAGCCCGTTTTCTTTTTCTGGCTTCAGTGTCACTGCCTGAGAAAGGAGGCCCAAGTTGAGACAATACAAGTGAATGAAGAAAAACAAACTCATAAGGTGACTGTACTCAGCATAAGTTGTAACTGCATCATGTTTTGTCAGCAGGCTCCAAAATGGGCAAGTGTTTGTACTGCTGTTTAGTTAGACACACGCTACATTCACAGCTTCGGGCACAGAGATGGACGGTGCGCCAGACGTGTGGAGGCAGATGCCCGCGTCCTTTAGTGTGATGTCAGGACCGTGCGCGTTCTGGTAGAACTATGGAGAGTCGGCAGAGTTCTGACCCTGCCACTCTTGGCCTGAGGGGGACATTCCAGATAGTCACCCAGATCCAAGGTGGTTCTTGTCTGAGCTGCACACGGATCCCACACGAGAGGCACATGGAACAGGAGGCTGTGGTCTCAGCTGCAAAGACACGTTCATAGCACTTCCCACACCCAGATAACCCCGCCTTCAACCTGAAAGCTTATCCCCGGAATACAGACATCTCTTCTTACCCTTTCTTGCCGTCCAAAATAGGTACTAACTCTGCAAGTTACGTAGCACACCCCAAACTAATTTTATCATGTCCTGTGACCCCCCTGATGACTGGTGCCTGTGGCCGGCACATTGTCTGTCAACCAGTAGACAGTAAACGTTGTTCAGTGTTAATTAACCAGCTCCTTGTAATTCATATGCAAATATTTCCAAGAACTGTGTGCATGTCAGTGCCCCAGGTTTCTGCTATACCCAGGGGTCATGGAGCTGGGAAAGGAAATTAAAGGAAAAGTGGTTCATTACTAGGATGGTTTCCTGATAAAATGTGACTAAGCAAGAAGGAAAATATTTTAATAGATTTAAAGTAGTAAATATAATTAAGAGGACAGGAAGGGAAAGAATCAACTTTCCTTTATCCCTGGAATTTGGAAACGTTTTACCAAGCGTGGTCAACTAACTCCACCTGGTTGTCCTAGCAAGAGAAGCAGTGGGGGAGCCCAGAGCGTCTTGAAACAAGTCTTCTGTTTGTACAGGTGAAGTTCTGTTAGTTGGGCTTAAAACAACCGTGCACATAGCTTTGCTTGGTGTGGAAGTTAGGAGAGAACCCATTCTGCTGTGCAAGCATTCGGCAAAAGCCCTCTCTTCCATCCCTCCCTCACACCCAGCTGGGGCTCCAGCCTCCTGCATACATCACCCCAGAGAAACCCCTCCGGAGCTCGTGCTTAGAGCTAAGAGAAGGCACATTCTGAGCAACGCCCCCCCCTTTTTTCTCCAAACACATGGGAACTGTCTCTAAGTTTGGTGCAGGTTTGAGGGGTAACTAAATTCAAATTGGCTTCCAAGTTGGTGAGTCAGCATATCGGTTTTTCTTGGCAGAAAGCTTTCTGGAAAACGTCTATGAAATGTTGAGTGATGCTCACATCCTTCGGATTCACGAGGGTGTAGAAACCACTGTCCAAAGAGATGGCTGTATACTTGCTTTGTAAGCAAAAGGCATGTATCATAGTTGCATCTGAAACGGTGTCCCTGTCTTTCTCACGGCACTGGATTTTACCTTTTTTACTTCCTAGTGTCCAGCACTTCCTCGGTAGTCATTTTAGGTATGTCATGTGCCATTTTTATTCCTTCTCCTAAAAATAAGTCAATTGTCTGTACTATGAAGTGATGCCTGCAACTTTGTGGTGATATTATTTCCTAAGTTTAATGGTGAAATAAGGAAATAAAACTATAAGTGAACAAAGAATGTGGTTGGCTTTCTTTGTAATCAAAGATCAGTGACGCAGCAGCAGTTTTTTCTTGTGTAAAGGCGTGGGGGGCACTGCAGAGGTAATTGTGAAGCAAACCATTATTTGCATTGACTTCTCGCTTGTATTTTTCTAGATTTTTTAGATTTTGAGGTGGGTGGGATAATTTGGCTAATTTATTTATTTAATGGAGGTACTGGGTATTGAACGCAGGACCTTGTGCATGCTAAGCACATGCTTTACCACTGAGCTGTACCCTCCGCCACCCCCCGAATCTCTTTTTCTTATGCACTCAAACGTTCTTCAACCGTGAACATTGCTGCTGTCATAGCCCGGGACACTTAATGCCCTGTGTTGAGGACTGTGAATGTATTAACTGTATCTGCACATGTAATGCTTATTTTAAGACTGCATGTGAAGAAAAATGTTTATCTCTGGATATATACTGTTGACCTAAAATGAAGAGATCACCAGATATTTGTCCAGCAAAGATGGGTTTGTACGGGACCAGCAGAGAATTGGTTCAGGGTCTGCAGCTGTGGTGAGCCCCACGCGGTCCCTGGACAGCAAAGGCAGGAGAGGCTCTTACGGGGGATGGAAGTCCAGAGGGCTGAGTAAACAGAGAGTCCGTGGCTTTGCGTTGGGTGCACCCCTGCCAGGAAGGAAGGGTCTGTCTGCTTGCTGTCGGCTCTGCTCCCAAAGCAGGGTGTGAGGGCTCCCTGCTGGTCTCCCAGCTCTGGCCCACTGAGATTCTGTTGCTCAGTTTTTTACAGTACATTGCAGGGAGTTTTACTTTCCTCTTTTGAAAAGAAATGCTTCTCTCTTGCTTCCCCCGCCTTTTTTTTTTTTTTTAAGAATTCTTACTTGTTTCTTTTGAAACCATCAGATGTTTTCCTACTGAAAGTCAAAACCAAGGAACATGTCCTATTGCGCTGACTTTAAATAACGCTCACTTCCATGTCTGTCATCTTTTTGTAGGTGCCTTACTTTCACTTGGTAATCAGAAAAATGATCGCGTCAGGCACCACTTCCTCGAGCTTCTCTTCATCCCAGACCCTCCCATGGAGTGGGGGCATTTTAAATACAAGCTCGTGATAACGCTCTGAATTCTCTAAGTGGCATGTCTCCCGTAATGTCTTGCTTGTAAATCATGTCTCTATCACACTTGTTCTTAATTCACATTGCCAGTTGCTCTTTTCCGTAAGAAACATGGAGTTGAGCTCTAAGCGCCGTTACTTCTTGGATCTGGAGGAGACTGCTCCCAGGAGCCGTGTAGGCTGTGTGCAGACCTGACTTCACCCGGCCTTGCTCTTCTCGTGACTACCACCAAGCCTCTCAAACCATCCTCCCCAGCAGGTGATTCATAGAAACAACAAACAAAGGGTTTGTCTCTCTGCTACAGGCAGCTGCTTTGGAAGCTGTGAAAACAGTTCAAAGTGGTGGTTGTGGCATATTTATAGCTCGCCAGATGAAATTTAGTTTCATAGTCCCCATGAATTTTTAATAATTACTTCTTTCATTGAGATTTTGGCCCATGGATCTTTAAGTAACACAAACCCCTCACACACCACGCTGGCACCTAGAATGCACCATTTAGAAACCTGACGTCTTCAAATGATGCCTAGAGCAGGGGGTAAGTGTCTTTAGAAATAGTCAACTATATTGTGATGTTATCTGGGTTAGCTTGAAGTGAAAAGACCCGTGGCGCTTGCCGAGACAGTGGGCAGACGGATGTGGTGCTCACCCTCTCCCACAAATGCAGTGAAAACTGCATCTCTGTACGGAACAAACCTCACAGAATACCAACTGAGCGTGTCAGTGTCTCTTCCAATCAGAAGTACAAGGAGAGCCTCACAAAACTAAGTAAACAACAAGGTCCTGCTGCACAGCACAGGGAACTATATTCAGCGTCTTGCAGTAACCTATGGTGAAACAGAATATGAAGAGGAGTCCGTGTGCGTGTATGCATGACTGAGACGTGATGGAAACACCAGAAACGGACACAACATTGCAAACTGACTAAACTTCAATAAACGTGAGTGAACCTGAAGAAGAGGATCAGTAGAGGCTCAGATTCAGTTAGAGGAGGTTCGTAATTAACAGAGATGCTGAAGGAGGACCAGTGCTACCCGCCCTCTGCGGTGAGCTCCTTTAACCAGGATTTCACACGAAAGGCCATCTCTGAAGTTGACTTCAGAACAGTAGGAAAGGCCAGCCCTTTGCCACTGGGCTGGAGGCTCATCTCCTCCCAGACACTGTTGTGGAAGACCATTCCCAGCTTTCCGTGCAATCAGGGACGTAGCTTCGGTTGTTCCGAGCAGCAGTGACAGGACGAGCCGCCTAATGCTCCGTATCCACCGCCCAGCTCCCGCCATCAGCCCGCGCTCCAGTCCGCTTCAGGACCTCGCTTCCTAGGGACCTGCTCACAACCCCCAGAAAACACTTGTTGAAATTCTATTTCCCTTTTTTCAATTGTATGAGAAGCCAACAGTATATGCGTAACGTCAGCTTTCCTTATCGAGGAGGGAAAACTGAGTTAGAACATGAGACTCTGCTCTACTAACCCTGCACACAGTCCCCTAACCCTCTTCTTCCTGCCCTGTGTGTCCGGTTACCCAGAAGTAAGTCTCATCTCATTGACACCAAGTATATTAACTTCACACAGGCTTTCTAACCTGATGTAGGACCTTCCTGCTTTGACAAGAAGGAAACAAATTTGTCTCCTGTTAAGGAAACTAAGTATCATTGTGTTAGCTAATAGCTGGCAAACAGTAGGTGACTTCAGAAGGTAGAATCCATGTGTAAAGTCAGAGATACAGAGATAAATAAAAATAAAAATAAAATAAATACTCACTATTCATTAAGATACAACAGATTCCTTTTTTCTTTCGGATTCAAAAATTAGATTTAGGTCTTAGTGCACTCCAAAGTTTGAGTAACCCTGCCTGGCTAGAATACCATAGATCCTTGAGTTAGAAGGGACCCTTTAAGGATTCTCCAGCCAAATTTATACTCAACAGGGACTAAATTCGCAGGGGTCCCTCCTTCTACAGCATTCTTGGCAACTGGTCACCGAGATTCTACATAAATAATTCCAAAGGTGGGAAACTCATTAAATAAAGCAGACCAATTTGTGTTTAGAGAATTTTAATTGTTGTGTTACACTTTATCCATTTCTTCTAGCCTCCAATTCTAGGGCATTGGTCTTCAAACTGGGGTGCAAATACCAATGGGGATATATGAGAACTTCCCGGGGAGTATCAGAGTGTGGTCAGTTTAAGAAGTCATTTTCTGTTTCCTCGGCTGCCATCGATATTCCTTCTCTGTGCTTGAAAAGACTCTTTTCTCCTTTATGCCTCCCTGTCTCCCAGTCTGCATGATGGGCCTCTCACCCACCCCAAATGGCACTCCTGTGCACAAAAAATCTGGAGAATACTTTCAAAATGCACGGTTCCTAAGAGACTGTCCTGTGTCAGAAAAGGAAACAGCATCAGTAAGAAATGCAGACGAAGGCAGTGCTTTATTTCATCCAGGAAACAGACTGATGCTAAAGCTCCGTGCCTCTGTCGCCGTATGTGTCCATCATCTACCTACCTGTCTGTCCATCCATCTGTCCATCCATCCATCCATTAAACTATTCATGAGTGAGAATTCAAAGGCGAAGAAGATGTCATAAGAACACGTATTAACACACTTACTCGAGTTAGAAAATTAGGTTAGGTTTTTTCCTAACGTAAAGTAAATGCAGTTTGGTTGATTAGTTTGACACTGAGGGCTGGCTTCCTAGTTGGATTATATGATGTACATTTTCCATCAGGTGAATGAAAAAATCTGCACTAGTTTTTGTTAAAATGTATGTTGAATGAGCATAGGTAATATGGCATAAGCAGGAAATTGCATCCTTTGAACTGTTTGACTTCTGACCAAATTGTTTACAGACAAATTTAAAATATGCAAGAGGTAGAGAGCTTTCAAAACTTCTTTTGTATCCGCAAGAAAAAAAAAAAGCAGAGCAATAGAAGACAGAACATTAAACTCCCTCGTCCATAAAACAAGTTTCGCAGTGTAGGAAGACAACTCTCATTTACCACGCAGCTCTTGTTCCTCACTTAAAGCTTTCCTAATGACCTCAGCCACTCCTCAGAGTTCATGTTCAAGGGCATCACGAGATGAGAAGGAGTGAGTGATCCCAGTAAATCTCAGCTCTGTCTTTTCCCATCTCCAGCTCACACACCCCCTCCCCCGAGCCCTCGGATACACTTGTCCAGCCCCAGTGCCCATCACGCACAGCCAACGAAATACTGTGGTGACACCCACGGCTTCATTCTCCAAAGACCCGGTGAGCAACTTGACCATAATTGCATAGCCTGATTCTACCCTTTGACGCAATCTCAGGGTGGAAGAGAGCCAGGAGGTAGGAGCCCATGAAGGAAGAGGGAAGCTGACAGAAAAGAAGCGTGTGTCTCACTGCGCTGAGGACGAGAGCGGGTCCGGGAGCAAGACCACTCTTCCGTGGTTGGACTCAGTCGTGCTGTACGTACCCGGTGTAGGAGGCCATGCTTCTGAGAGAAGAGGGCGCCGTGCTCTTTGCTTCTTTCAGTCTGTGACTTTCTCTGTCACCACCACCATCTCAAGCCCACTGCCGGCCAGATCTTGCACGAAGAGCTAGAGGCTTCTCTAAGCACACCTTCAAGGAAAGGGCCGATGCAAAGAGAACAGAGAGGCAAAAAGCTTCTGGGCTTCTGAGGGGACTTTAATCAACGTGTAATAGAAAAACAAGCCTGTAGAGCCAAAAGCAATCAACAAGCACCTGGAAGAGAAAAATGTTCTCGGGAAGGCTAACCACCTCACCCCCTCGGCTTCTACCGAAGGACGTCCGTCTCTGCGTCCCCAGAAATACTGCCCCGCCCCCCACGGAGTTTCTCTGAAGTGTATGCCCCAGGCCGTCACGGTCTGTGTGGCTGTGGCCCTCAGCTGAGCTGGGCGCTCTCGACCAGAATCATGTCTGGGTCTTCACGGAGCCCCCAGAGCCGCGCTCCCTGGGAGCTGCATCTCTTCTTCAGCTGGTAGCCAGATGCTGCTGTTCCTGTGCTTGTTTTCCTGTTTCACAAGCCTTGCTCCTGTCCAGCTCAACAGCGTCCTGCCTCCTGTCAGGCAGAGGCTCCTGGTGGTTTGCGAGCCAGAGGGGATGCAGAGAGGGAAGCCCCTGGCGGTCCTCACTCTTGGCCCAGGGACTCTGAGCCCCGGCACTCCTCCAGGTCCACAGCGGCTGCAGACCCTCTGAACATCCCCCCACCCCCGGGAAATGCAGAGTTCTTCTGAAAGCTCCTCAGTCACCTCTCTCATGCCAGATCTTACTTTAAGCAGTGCTGTTACATGTGCCTCCCCCCGCCCCCGCCCCAGATCTTCCTTGTTGCAGATGTGTACTGACCTTGAGGAAAACATCTACTAATTTCATCCACAACAAGATATGAATGGTGTGTTAGTTTCTATTTCTGTTATACCAAATCATCACAAACTTAGCTGCTTACAGGAATGCTAATTTGCCATTACCGTTCTGTAGGTCACAGTTTAAAACGAGTATCACTGGATCAGAAATCCAGGTGTTGGCAGGGCTGTGTCCCTTCTGGGCTGTCTTTCCAGCTTCTAGAGGCTGCCTGCATTCCTTGACTCATGGCCCCTTCCCTCTTTAAAGTCTGCAAACTCATCGTTGAATTTCTGCTTCTGTCGTGACATCTGCTTCTCTGAGGAGGATTCTCTGCTTCCCTCTTCCACTTATAAGGACTCATAATTAAATGGGGCCACACAGATAATCCACAATAATCTCTCCATTTTAAGGTCCTTAACTTAACCACTCCTGTTAAGTCCCTTTTGGCTTGTAAGAGAACATAGTCACAGGCTCTGGGAATTAGTACGTGGACATCTTTGGGGCCCTTCTTCTGCTTACCAGAAGCGCCAGTCCTCCCTGAGATGGACAGATGCTTGCACTTCAAAAGAAATGCCTACGAAATTGGTTTCTGGAAGTGGCATTCAAGGCACACCAGCATCTGGCTGTGAAAGAGGACCTTTGGAGAGGAGGGGATGGGGTCTTACTAGCCTGTTTAAAAAGGACATAAATGCCTATCTCAATGACATATATAGACATGGGGTTAAAAATTCTAGGTTCCACAGCTGTTCTCTAATTGACTAATAATATGAAATGTACATAGATTTTCTTGTTACTTCAAATAACATCCATTGTGTTTGAAGGGCCATATGAGTTTCTCAAATCCTTCTAAGTATGTTTTTAGCAGTAAGTCCCAGTTTTTCCCAAAAGAACCCTCAAAAATTCAGTGATATACTTGAATTAGTGACATAGGACAGAGACCGTTTCGCTGAATGCTTGCTGTGGGCAAGGCACTCTGCTCGCATATTTGTGCCCCATTTATTCCTCCTATAATCTTATCAGAGAGTTCACGTGCAAAAGAGAAATCAGGTCTCAGAAAAGTTGCTCACCTAGGATCAATATCTATGAAATGACTGACCTAGAATTCAGATACTCGTCTGTCTAAAGGCTTTAGCGCCTCTTCCATGAAGTTACCAGGCGTCCTTTGTTAGTGAGTCTTCTTCATTTCCTCTCTCTTGTTCTCCGTGTCCCCTGTGCGCCTTTGGTCGTGTTCACAGCCAGCAAAATCCACTTTTGAGACTGACGAGGGGGCCTAGTAGTGGACTCTGTTGCACACGAATGCTCAGTGCAAATGGTTTTGAGATGTGCGGGTGGCTGAGCCACAGGACTGAAATGGGTTCTGCCCTGGGCATGGCTTCTGTGAGTCCAGGCTTTCAGGGACATTTGAATGAGTGTCGGCCAAGTGTCCCCGTGACCCTTGCCTGTACCTCTGTCCAGCCTCTGATCTTCGGTTGACCGACTTCTGTCCTGCCCCGGACCCTTCGCAGGGTTGTCTGAGCTCTGCTGTGTCTCCTGGCCTCTCCTGGTAGCTGATCTGTAGGCTTGCTGGGCTGTCGGCTCCCTTGCTGATCACACTCCCAGGCCTTGCACTGATCTTTCTGGGTCTCTGCCACTCGCCTTGCGGGCCCTGGCTGCCCCTGGTGCTGGCTTTGACCCAACAAGACATGGTAAAGAGGAAGAATGGCAAAATATACTGTGCAAAGTTAACAAACAGAAACCTCAAGTAAATGAAGCCTGGAAACCAGAAGGGGTGGGTTTTCACACCCTGCTGTAACGTCAGAGCCCAACAGGAGACAGAAAGACTCCTCCTTCCTGGCAGGAACTCGGCCACTGAAAAGCCGTGGGTTTTCGTTTGCTCAGCCCTCCCGACTTCCTTCCCCCTGCAGTATAGGAACTGCACAGGGCTCACCGTGGCTGCAGACCCTGAGCCAGTTCTCTGCTGATCCCGAATAAACCCATCTTTGATGGAGGAAGACCTGACACACTATTCACTTTAGGTCAATAGTCTAGTTCAGAACAGTGGGGGTTTTTTGTGTGTGTGGTTTTTTTTTTTCTGTATGGTATAAAAATGCTATGATTCAAAATGTGTGGAACCCTTTCATTTAAGCCACTTCTTTCTCTGACAATAAAATAAGAATAATAAAACCCTAAGTATGTTGCATTATTTTGATCCCCACACCTAGTTGGAGGGAGGGGTGGGGGAGGGGCTGTTTGTGTGCTGAGAGAGGAATTAACGTGCTGCATTCAGTCTATGATTCACATGCTTTCTGAAGTTTCACACAAAGCTGAAATGGATGGCATCATAAAAATACGGTTGCGCAGTTGAGATTGGGACATTTCCAGTGACTATGTGACCTTGGTTGTTACTACTGAAGAGCTATCTGGACAAAGACCACTGCTTGAACTCTGAGTCAACAAAACTATGGAAGGCCCATTAGAGAAAGCAGTAAGTGTTCTTGCTGTCTCAAATCATTCTGACACCTGCTAATCAAGAAAGGGCCAGCTGTCCAACTTGCAGAACGAGTATAAACCAGGGAGAAAGTTCCAGCAGTCACATGGGCGCACACTTTCAAGAGCTGCAGCATCAAAGGCTGTACAAAAACAAAGCAAAACAAAACCATGGACATTAAGGACCTTGATTCAGAAACACTGACTGAACACCAAGAATCTTTGGAAATTCCTGAAACAATTTATTTTGCTTGTATTCTTTTATGTATACATGTGAAAAACACATATTTAAAAATCCACATCTAAATTCTCCAAGAGCTCTGTCATTAAATGTACAATGACAATATTAATGACCAAAAATCACTGGCTTCTGTAAACCTAAAAATGTTCTAAAATAAAAATTTTCTTTAAAAAAAATAAGCATTAGGTAATAGTAGAATTGGAGGAGCTCTTCTTTCTCCTTGGTGCACAAAATAATGTTCTCACAACTGATGACCTAAGACTCAGTGAAGTACAGAATTTTCTGTTTGATTCTGTGTTATTTTGCTGCTAAAGTCAAAAGACATTATATTCCTAGAACAAGAGGTAATGACTTTCAAAGTGTTATGTTAATGTTTCAAAAATCTGACTCCTTACCTACTTTACCAGCAAATGGAAAAGCAAACTATTTTAATAAAAGGAAAGCTGTTTGAAGTTAATAAACTTTTCTGTGGTGCAGGAATAAAGGCGTGCTTGTGTTTTGTGTACGTCTATCCTACCAAGTCACATATTTTTGTCCACCATAAAGAAGGCAGTTCGGATGGTAGTCTGAGGGTTGGATTTTGAGAATTTAACTAGATTAGTGAAAGGAGATATATCTTGATACTATTCATTTGCCTTTTAATATAATTCAGGTGTAAATGAAGAGTATTTTTGATAATTACCAAGTTTGTGAATATGAACTTTTTCCTCCTAGACTTCAATTCAGTTGATATCATTTATGCGATCATTTTCTGTAAATATACTCCCTTCCACCTGGATGGGAGTTGATTTATGATTTATAATGATTTCTAATTATGTAACACCGATCTAATTCTGCACTGAAATCAAATCAAAGAATGTGACTTTTGTCATGATAAGGAAAGAAAAAATTCTACGTGTTCAAAGTTTTCCTCAATATCTCCTTTACAGTTGTAACCAGAGAAATCTGTGGTTCCGTCCAGTGTGTTTCATTGTTCTTCAACGTTTGGCTGGTGTGATTGATAGCTGACCTGTTGACTGGGGATACTGGCTGAGCAAAATAGGGTTTGAGAAACTGACAAGTGAAGAAATATGTTATTCATCTTTCTTCATCAATTCAATGAATGAAATTTTCAAAAACCTATGTTCATGTTTATCCATTCAGCAAATATTTATTGAATATTCATCATAAGCCAGGTACTCTTAAGATCAACTAACAAAGGCAGCATTTATATTGAAGGTATCAAACCTTAAACACAACTGCTAAGTTTGTTATTATTAAGACAAATTGTGACCAATACACTTGACACCTGTACATATACAGTGGTTTGTGGTCCCATCACTGAAATGTGACAAGCAATAAAATTCCCACCTCATTCAAAATATTTGTCCACTACCTCCTATTTTGCCTAAAATGTCCACCATTACACTCATTCTTTGTTTTTATGGCCAGGTTTCCAATGAGAGGTCCAGGGAAAACTATGTTGCACAAAACCTGAAGAATTCTTCACTAGATTTGCACTGCAAGGAATACTAACAGGAATTCTCGGCGGAAGGAAATGATTCTACTTGAAGCAGGCAGAAATAAACAGGCGTACATCACAGAGTTGAGCTGGACCATTTTTGGAGGGGGGGGTAGGTTTATTATTTTATTTATTTTTTTATTTTTTGACAGAGGTACCAGGGATTGAACTCAGGACCTCACGCATGCTAAGCACGCGCTCTGCCACTGAGCTATACCCTGCCCCCTGGACTGTTGTTTTTCTGCCCCCCATTCCTGGGCTTTGTTTGAAGAACTGTACTGCAGATGGTGGCCATACAAGTCCTGGGCCTTCAGTTTTAACAAAGTTTTTACATTCATACTTGTTAAGAATAAAACATATGGGAGCAACTGGGCCTCTCGTTGGGCCCAGAGAGCCTCACGTGTCCTTGAGGCCTCTGGAAAGTCAGCCAGGTATAGATTCCATGGTATAGAATAAACCTTGAGACACCCACCGCTTCACTGAGCAAGAATTTCCTGACCATCCTAGAATTTTGTATCTGCTCTTTGTAAAGGAGAGGAAAGAGACTAGACAATAATCAAATGGGCTCTTAGGGGATGGGTGATTCATGCGTCCAGGCTGCAGGCGTGACTCCTGGGTTCCCATCTCCCAGAGACATGAACGAGGCCTGTGTGTCTCCTGAGGGCAGAAGGGCTGTTCTGGGCCAGTGTGGAATGCGAGGACCTAATGGCCAAGGCAGGAGCCTTGAGTTGACCACCAGCAGCAAAGTTGCTTTTGCTGCAACTGGAGGAACGTCTTGCCGTCCTGGGAGGAGAGGAAGCGCAGTGACCGCAGCCCTGAGCCCCTCCCTTCCCTGGCCCTCGGACTCCACGACGGGGCCTGGGGCCGTCAGCGGCGGGCGGCAGCTGCTTTCCCCGACTCAGCATCTGCATCTCATGCCCAAGTCCAGCACGTCAGCTTTCCCCGAGGAACAGGACCTCTCCTGCTTCCAGCCCGCACTTTTCGGAGGCTATCTCCACGCTGACTCACCTCGAAGATGGCTGTGTGGTCCACATCTGTCCAACTTGATACTCCATTCTCTGGCTGGTCTGGTTGGGTCAGGGATGAGAGCATGACCCAAGCCAGGTGACATGCACTTAAAGCCATGACTTTTCATGGAACCCAGTGGCATGAGAACCCCTTTCTGGTGAACGGTGAGTGGGTGTTGTCAGCCCACAGCTCCTGGGGGCCCTGGGGGCTGTGAGAGAGACCATGCCTGTTTGTGGGGTCACCCAAAGGCACTTAGCAGGAGGGAGGGTTGGAGAGGGACCGGGACACACTGTGAGCTGTGAGTCCCTGGACCTGCCAGCTGCAAACCCACCCTTGAACTTGCCACTTGCAAGTATTAATTTATTTCTGCCATTAAAAAATATTAAGTTATTTTACTTCGGTCAGTGTGTACCGTCCCTTGGAATCAAAGAAAAGTCCTAGCTGACACCAGAATCTGCACTCGCTGAGACTCCTCCGTGTGGCCCCCTCACCTGGGGGCCTGGCTTGGGGAGGTGAAGCCACTGGGCTGGCTCAGATCCCAGGGGAGAGCCAAACATCTCTGTCCCTGCTCCTTTCTCGTCCTGAGAGTAGAAAACCCCAGAATAAGGAGAGGAAAGCCAGCAGGGGAGAGGGGTCCATGCCTGGCCAATAGACTAGTGTGCACTTCATTAGGGTCCACCTGGTTAATGTGTGTTTTCACTAAGAAATCACCCATTTCCTCTTGGTTTCCAATTTGATGCACCAGCGTTCTCTTATTTGACTTTTATTTTCTCCTTTCCTTCTAGTTCTCTATAGAATTGCTGCAATTTACAAACAAATATTGACATCTTACTATTAAATAAAGTCCATTTTTATTTGGGATCCTTTCATTCTGCCTTTTTCTGGTCCAGGAGTCCGTGCAGGAATCTCGTGACCCTCGGACATCATGACTCTTCAGGCTCTTCTTGCCCTTGACAGTTTCTCAGACTTTTCTTGTTTCAGTGGCCTTGACAGGAAGAAGTCACTATGTGGACCCCACACTTCCGGAGAGGGGCTTCAGCTCCACCTCCTGGATGGACAGCTGGGTGTCTGTATCAATTATTTGGAATTCTCATGCATAGGAGGTTTCTGTTCAACCCCATTAATAAAAAACCTATGCGATCCTTTATGTTTTGCAGCATAGACACCCGGAGGGTTACTTTTAATAGATTCTACATCCAGCACCGCAGTGTTTGGTTGCTCAGTTTATTCCTGCTTTAGCTGTTGATGCCTCTTTCCTTTGGTTGTTGTTTCCTTTGACATCATTCCATCTTGTGTGTTTTGGTTTTTGGTTTTTGGTTTTTCCTCCTGCCTGCTTTGACTACTTCTTAGGTCCCATTTCTGTGAGACCTCTGTGTGCAGGAAGGAAATTTTTTTTCTTTTTCTCCTATAGACCTGTCTTGTGTCAATTCTATTACTTGTCCAGCCAGAAGAACTCAAGAGGATAGAGGGAGAAATTTCCCCCTCCCCAGCAGTACACACTCCTAAGTATAAAGATTTCTCTGTGGAACTCTCTGCATCCACACCAAGGTAAAGGTGAGTTTATAGTAACGTCTGCACCACGACCCGTTCTCTCACGGATAGTGGACCTCGCTGTATCTGTCTGTAACTTCCCACTCAGACGGGGGAAAGTGGTTCCCACCGACCTCCGTGTGTGTGACTCCCTGTGTGCTCTGTTCTAGACTCCAGCATTCTTAGATCCTGTATCAGATAGGGTCCACACAGTGCGTATTGCCTTTAGTATGTGCGTTCTGTTCATCTCTAAAGTCGCTGAGGCCGTCACCTTCTGCCCTAACAAACACCAACAGTGAGGTTTTTTTCAGACATTTCTGATTCTTTGTTACATTCTGTAGTCCATCCTGTCACACTCCCACTTCCTTGATTACTAGATTTGAACAGGTTTCAGTTGACTCACTAAGCCATAAAAAGCCTATGGATTTAGACAGATGCGTAGTGGCACAAGTCCATCACTAAAACGCCTTACGGGACACTTCAAAACTCACATGATCTGTTTACCATCTCTTATTTGCCTTTCCCAGAATGTCATATAGATACGGTCCTACAATGTGTATGTAGCCTCTTAAGACTGGATTCTGTCACTTATGAAGGGAAAATCAAAATGGAATTGGTATTGATAAGAGAGTTCTTTAAAATGGAGCCAGAGGCCATTAAGAAAGTGTGACTTACCGCATCTCGGCCTGAATGAAGTCTGAGGTTTCCACCTGATGAAGTCACCCAGGACACCTGCCAGAAACTTCCTACCGGTGGTCTACTTGCTGTACAGGGACCCTAAAGGGATTCATGACAGCCTCTCCACTTACTGCACACTTACCCTAGAACAACTTGTGGCTGTCTGTCCACTTGTCGGGCCCTTACCTAAAACACCTAACTCCTGAAGGACAAACGTTTTCTGACTTGAGTGAGTCAATCACAATTACTGTCAGGCGTCTTTTAACAACCTTGTGGCTTTTTGTGTTTTTAAGCCCTTGATGCTTTCTCTTATCTGGAACACTCTCTAAGGGTTTCTGGAATCTGGAATCCCTTGAATCTGTGTCTCCCGACTGCAATTCTTCAGACCCCCAAATAAACGATTTCTCCTGTTGGCAGTCGCCTGCTGTTTTTTGGTTGAACCATATGTAAGATTCATCCACGTCTCTGCACAGGTTGGCGCTTCATCTCTTTACGTTTCTAAATAGCGCCCACTGCATGCTGTGTGGGAGGAAAACTAATTCTCCCTCTACGCTTCTAGGCTGTTGGTTGCGAGCCCCACCCCCCATAATGAGCCAGATTAGCAGGAGGAAAACAAACAGGAGTTTAATAACACGTACACCCCCTGTGCACTTGGGAGATGCTCGGGAAAACTGAGTCACTCCCTGGAACAGCTCAAGCGAGCGCCTTGAATGCTATCTGCAGCTGAAAACAACAGAAAGATGCTGGAGACGTGTGGACGCCAGTTA